AAGTCAACATCAGTTCACCTGGACTTCAGAGGCTTTGGTTGATCTTCTAACTTGCATGATCTCCTAACCTTATGCTCCCGAGTCTAAGTGAAAAATCAGCACTTTAGGGCTACTTTGGGGCTGCATGAAAGGCCTAGCATAAGTGAGAGCATTTGGTAAATGTTAAAGGACTTGGACAGAAAAATAGTATTCTGTGGCACATCCCCTGCGTCTGAATTCTGCCTCCCCAAATTGTTATGACCTGGAATGGTTAATTACTCATTCTAAGACTCATTTTTGTAATTGGTGGAGGCTTGGTGATAATGGTAAAACCTCCTAAAGTAGGCACAAAGCAAAATATTATACAGATTATTTTTTAGTCTACTGCTGGGCACAGAATGTTTGAAGTTAAGAGTTTGGTGATTAACTGAAAAATCAGTTACATCTTTTAATAATAAAAATTATAGACATATATCTTGAATGTTTTATTTTGACTTAAAACATTTAAATAAATACTTAACCACCTATATGTTGAGACCTGGCCAAGGCCTTTCTTGGAATCTGTGTTTGCTAACATGGGACTCCTTCCTTATGAAACCCACATCTGCAATGCGTAGCCCATTCATTCATTTGTTGAATTTAAAGGTATTTGTGAAATTAATTGATTAGATAATTTTCCTAGATGTGTTCACCATTTTGTTTTTACAATTGTCTCAGCTCCCTCAAATTTCTGGTAGATTTTCAAAAAAAATACTTTTAATTTTTATAGCACATCTTTATCAAGTCATCCCCAGAGCATTCTGTTTATTTTATATAGTAAAATCATTTTTTTCACCCACGTTTAGTGGTTTACATAATAGTTCATGGAATTACCTAATGATAGTTATTCTACAGCGTTGACAGATACATGTATACCAGGAGCATAAGCAGATTCAGCATCAAACACACAACTGACTTGCTGAGTGTGCACCCGCACTGGTGGGGGCGCACAGGGGCGGCATGCAGGAGGACACGGCAGAGCTGAGAGTTCAGGGTGCTGGCTCATCGGTTGCATTTACAGAGGAAGGAGGAGGCATGGGTAATTCTGAAAAGTGGAGGTTGGTAGAGTTTCACAGTCAAAAGAACTTTCACAAATAAAGCAGTGAAGAAAGGAGGTACGAAGGGGGTTAGAGCAAGACCTTTGTTTCTAAATTCATTGGCTCATGAAGCCCTGTCAAACCACAGAATATGACAACGGGAGATTTAGAAAAGGCTTTAGAGAACGACTCATTCAATCCACCCACCACCTTCATGCACTGCCATCACCTGCTGACATTGGGTAGGTGAGGAAAGACGTTGGGTTTGAGATAGAAAATTCTTTAACACTGTCCAACATGAAACATGGAAGGAGGGAGGAAGAACAAAACTATCAGAGATGGAGCCTGAACGGTCCTTTCAAGAAAAGAGGTGTCGGGGCTTCAGGGAGACTTCCCAGGCTAGACGGAAGCACCCGATTGGAGAACTCCCGTTCCCTTCGAGGAAAAGGGGTCCACACTGAAGGGTGGAAGGGTAGGGGATGGGAGGGGAAGGGAAGAAAACTGGAGAGAACATTTCATTTAATGTTTTCTCCTAAAGTCAGGCGTAAAACACCAAAGACAGTGCCCTCTTCTGCAAAGAGCTCTTCACGCTTCCACCGACACACCAGTGCACATGGGCTGGCTTTGCAGATGTTCCTCCGTGGTTATGCAATTTACACAGAAAAAAATGTTTTGAACTCTCATTAGATTTTAAATATTATCAGCTGGCAAAGGAGATAAAGCCAGTCTTCAGATGATCTGTTTTCCTGTGGCATCTTTTTCGCTGCATTTCCAGGAAATGCAAAAGAAAGCAAGAGAGAAGACTGGTGAAGAGTTCTATTAATCTTGTATAGTAACTGGTTGCAGAAATTTTATGTGGGAATTGGGGCTAACCAGAGATTGAAACCTAAACATCCAATTTTGGCCACACAGACTTCTGTCTTTTCACCAAAGTGGAAAATTTTCAAATAAAACACAGAGGCCCAACGGAACTTACTGAGAACAAGTCTTCAGTTCCCCAAGGCTTCCCTATTTTTTTTTTAAATATATAAGGCAATTCTATGCAGTGGCCTTGGAGAAATTGCCTTCACTAATACGATTGTCCTCTAATCCTTAAGTCAACCTTATTTATTTATTTTTTCTCTGTGGATGCCTTTCACCTCAACTTCCCTGTATTTTGAAGAAAAGGTAACTAATTTCCAAAGCATGGTTTCAGGAAACCAACAGTGTCATGTCCAATTGCCTAGAAAAAGACAAATCGATTCAGCATTCTGGTCCGATCTTGTATTTGCGGGGGGTTTTCCCATCGCGTCCTCAGCACTTCTTGCTAAGGGAGATCAGAGTAATGCTAAATCAGGGGACACAGCAGAACCACACCGAAATGGAGAGGGGGGCATGATGGGAAGTTGGGCTGGGGGAGGTCTCTGGACTGCTAGCCCCACCAGGAGGGGCTCACTCAGCAACAGCATGCAAGGCAAGCATCTTAAAAGCAACAAAGCCTTCAGAAACAAACAGCAAGAGAAAAAAAGCATTTCTTTCATTGTCTTTGCAAGTTGTACCAGGGAAATTTTTATTTCCTAGCATTGAGGATTTTTTAAATATCCACCCAAAGGGCCTTGGAAGATGTAGCATAATATGTTCAAGTGACCAAGAAGCAAGAAAATCATTTCATCTTGTTTTGTTTCTTTTAAAATACTGATCGTTATTTGTAATTATTTATTTCTTCTCTGCTGTCTGCCTCCTCACTGAATGGTGAGCCCTTGAAGGCACGGATCTTTTTTTGTGCACAGCCATATGCTGAGTACCTTCTACAGTGCCTGGTATGCAGTGGGTACTCAGTAATTGTGCATTGAATGAATAGATTCCATGTATTTCTGAGCAAACTGGTACTTTCACCCAATTCTGGTTCATTTCTGTCTTCTAATGTCCACCCACTCCAACTGATCCAATCAGAAACCACAAGGAAATTTAAGAACATTTTCCCCAGAAAACCTCAGGTTATGAAGGTATCTTGAAAAGACCACCAGAACAGCCCTCCTTTTGTACCGTATTCTACATTTGTTGGTTAGGAGTCCTTCACACCATAGCACTCTAAACATTTCTCTTGGATGAAAGGTACATGGCCCGATGGGGGATATTCTGTCCTTTTCACCCGGTTTACCACTCACATCAGATCCAGTCGGCCCTGATGCTTGCTGTGTTCCAATAAGAAGTAAATGACATTGCTCGGATTCAAATGCCCAAATACTTATTTGAAAAGGCCATCTTTACCTTTGTCACTCCTAATTCCAAAGGGAGTGCTATTTTCCTAGTTTGGCATGCTTTTCTCAGGTCAAGGGGTTTCTGTGAAATGCCCTGAGTTCTGCAAAGAAGAGAGTTTTGAAAAATTTATTATGTTTGGCCTGCCACCTTCCCAAAACCTGAAAATAGTCACTGCTGATCCCTTTCCCAAAAAACAAGTAATAAAAACCAAACAAACCACCCCCTACGCACAAATAACACTATTTCTTCTGAGCGTGTGTTTCCTGTAATTAGTATGAAGAACTACTTCAAGGCTCCCCATAGAAGACCCTTTGAGATTTAGAATACAAGATGGAATACCTAGTTAGATGGAATGCCAACCCCAGCAGCACCCTTCCTCGAAAAATCTCCTTCCTTCTCCTCCTCCTCCTTCTTCCTTTCCCCCTTCCCCTTCCTGCCCCTTGTCTTCTCTTCCTCCTCCTCCTCCTTCTTTTCCTTCTCCTCTTCCTTGTCTGTCTTTTTGTATAGACTTCTTCCTGCCATATGTATGGATACTTATGAAACCCTGCCTGTTCCCTGAAGTTTTTCCCAGTTAACCTGAAGAGAGGTAGTCATTTAATTTTCTAGACCTCATTAACCTATAAGAGTCAAGACTGGGCCATGTGATGTTCTGGAGGAAACATCAGTCTTATGTTCTAGGATTCTTCCCAGTGGATTGCAAGCTTTATAGAGACAAGGATCGTGCCTGACTCGCCAGCACATTCCTGGTGCATTCCTGGTGCATTCCTGGTAGGCTTGCAGGGCGCATCGGTGGGAAGAGTGAATATCTGAACCATCAGGATGACTGTTGATGTAATTGTACTTTGCACATCCCCACCTCTTGACTTCACTACGTGTCTGGAATCATTAAGTCTTAGAATGGGTAAACTGTAAAGGGGATATCGTCTAGTCCTAACCATGGCTACTGTGACCTCCTCATTTAAATGTTGTAATCTCTCCCCTCACCTCCATGGTTTTAATCTCTTTTACTTGCTCATTTTTCTTATAACACTTTTCCTCTAACATATGATTTTCCTGTTGTTTGTTACTTATTTTCTTGCTTCTCCAGTTGGATTGTAAACTCCACAAGAGCAGGGTTCCTTGCCTGTTTTATTCACTGCTGTCCCGCAGTGGCCCAGAACAGAACCTGGCACATAGTAAGGGCTCAATAACTATTTGTCAAGTGAATAAACATTAGAATTACTTCTGCATATGGCCTGCAAGAGTTTTGCTTAAATCCCAAGCCCAATTCCACACCTGTGGAATCAGGACATTAGGAGTGTGGATGCCAGGAATCTACATTTTTATCAAAGTGTGTGGTATGACTCTTCTGAAAACCACTAGCTCACCCAACTCAGTCACCTAGAAACAATCCTGAAGTCCAGGGAGATACGGTGTCCTTGAGGCCATGTGGGCTATTTAACGGTGCACCTAACTGTGATTATTTCTTTTCTGAGGAGCTTTTGACTCCAGTGATCTCTGAGCTGCATTTACTTAATATAGGTTCACTTCCATTACCATCTTGGTCTTTGAGATTAAGCTAACAGAGGCAAAACTCTAGTCTCGGAACTTCTTTGTGGTGCCTCTCAGAAGGCAGGAAGTTCATAAAGGACCCTTTGATGTCTTTGCACAGAAGAACCACACTATTTACATGCTGACATGCCACTATTTTCCTTCTTCTTCCAGTTCCTGGACATCTCCATTAAATGGACCACCCAGGAAACATTTCCTCCAAAGTACCCTCATCATGACCCAGAAACCTCTCGCCAGCTGATGTGTGACAAGTGTCCTCCTGGCACCTACTTAAAACAGCACTGTACGGCAAGGCGGAAGACCGTGTGTGCCCCTTGTCCTGACAACTACTACACAGACACCTGGCACATCAGTGACGAGTGTCTGTACTGCACACCAGTGTGCAAGGAGCTGCAGTACATCAAGCAGGAGTGCAATCGCACCCACAACCGCGTGTGTGAATGTGAAGAAGGGCGCTACCTCGAGGTGGAGTTCTGCCTGAAGCACAGGAGCTGCCCCCCTGGGTTTGGAGTGCTGCACACTGGTACGTACCAGCTTTCACCAGGCCGCCAAAGTAATTAGGACCGTATAAAGTCAAGTGATAGGGAAAGTTTAAGGGAACACTTTTGTCTGATGATATCACAGGAGAGCAAATTGCAAAGGTAATGGAACCTGCTAGGTATATACTATGTGTCTGGATTGCGGCCGCGTGACCATTTCTCAGAGCAATACTCTGCTGCTCTAGGGTGATTTAGTGACAAATCTCAAATGCAGCAAATTGCTCTCTAATGAGATGCGTGATGGATTGCTTTTTTTAAAGGGACACTCTGCGCTGCCCTGTTTATAACTGATAGATACCTCTATGTTTCACTTCAGTGTGGACAGCTTCAAACTGTGGTGCTTTTGGACAAACATCAGGAATCTTAATTGATACCAAGAGAGTTATTATGCTGATATTGATGAGACTCTGGAGTGCTAACAATGAACAGTTATAATTAATTATTCAAAAAAATGAGAATGGCTAAGGGAAATGCATTTCATTATTAAAAAATGAAGCCAGCCCTTCCTTTGGCATGGGAGTTTAGTATCTGGGAAGATAAAGACTGTAGCAGTATCTCATCAATGAGCTTATTCTTCATCTTAGACAAAGCAGATTGCCAAGCCCAGAGTAAGTACTTGTCTGCAAACAAAGTGCTTTCTCTTTTTGCATTTTGAACAACATAGGTTAAGGCCAGTGAGCACTGAATCTTTTAAAGCTGCAACCCCATTTTTTTTCCTACCAAATTCACAGAGTTTCCATGTAGTCTTTTAGCTTGGGAAAATCAAGAGTAAATCACTTACTTTTTTGGAGGAAGTAGTAATCAGTACAGATTCTGATTACTCAGTTTGAAGCAGTATTTCTCAGCCTGAATTAGCCAACATTTTGGGCTGGATAATTCTTTTTGTGGGCAGCTGTCTTGTGCATTGCAGAGTGTCTAGCAACCTCCCTGGTCTCGTCACTCCACGCTCCTCCTGCAGTGGTGACAACCAAATGTGTCTCCAGGCATTACCAACTGCCACTGGTTGACAACCCCAGGTTTAGAGGATGCTAGTTATTTGTAACTATTTTAACTTCCTGAAGTTGTGATATACAGAATCCTAAATTCTTAGATGACAAATACAAAGCAAACATATTCAAAAATTGAAATCTATTGTCTCTTAAGTTATAAATCTTGTAAAATTAATCACAGGAGAGGCAAATTGCATGAGAGTTCCTTAAAGCACCTTGAGTATGAGTAATTAAGGGCAAAACTGATGACACTTCCTAGTTTTTATCGGGTGATACTTTGGGACACAAAAGCTAAGCCAAGTTGTAGGAGGGAAATGCCCATCCGACAAAAATAAATTTGCTGAATTCAATTCAGTGAGTTGTATATGTAGAAAAAAATAATGAAGGGACCAGGCTGCTTGGAAATTAGAAAGTTTTGAAAAAGAATGGAAATTGCAAGGATTTTTCTCTCATGAGCATGGAATGCTGTTTGTACAATGAAGTGAGCTGGTAGCCAGAGGACCGGCACAAAGATGCGTGTTTTCTTTCGTGGCACGACAGTGGGGTTTCTTTACCTCTCACTCCCTGCAAACCCACAGGGCAGTTCCTCGTGGACAGTAAGAGATGTCCATCCCAAGGAGAAGGAAGGACTATACAAGGTTATTCTAAGAAGTATTTAATGATCATTCCTTTTTCTGTTGTTTTTTTTATTGTCTTTGTATTTTAGTCACTCTATCTGTTAGTCTTAAGAGTCTTATGTCATTACTTATGGCTAGCATGGTGAAGTTCTCAACTGTAGAACAGAATTCCTCTCATCATCATGACATTGAACGTTTGGTCTGCCAGATTATACTCTTTGTGTTTCCATTGATATTAATAAGGCAAGATCATTTACTTATATGGATGAACCTTTCTTTATAAAAAGTTCTATCAGTTATAAAACAGGGAAGTCCTACTCAGCAAGGTCATTGTATAAAGCCTTCAAAGACACCAAGAAACTTGACTTCTATCATTCTTGGGTTTCTTTTGTTCAAGAACTGTAAAGCCTAAGCTGCCTGAAAGAACGTCATGTCTTTTACCGATGACTTTCTCATTGGGATGCACGCAAAGACCCAATCCGTTGATGTTATTTGAATAATGCCAAGTTCTTCTGTGTGCGGTTGGCTTTCCAGAACATGTGGCGTTTGGGAAAGAGATACTTGGATCCATGTGTTCGAGTCCCCTTATTTCCAGAATATTAGCAATGAAAGAATACCATGGAATCCCTGCCCAAGAATCTTCACTTAGGATGTTGTAGAATTTGATGTGGAATTGAACATCATTCAAAAAGGGGAATATAGTAAGAAAGTACTTTAAAAATATTCCCCTTTGTCAGTTGGTTCCTAAGATGTCAGTCCCTGCAGAGCCTGAGGTGGCATTTAATATGTGGAGGTTTCCTGCCTGTGGCTTCCCACCTCCTGTTTTTTTCTTCTGCCGGCCCTTCCTCATTTTTACTGGTCAATGCATTGTCGATCCCTTTTGAAGAAGCAGGAGATGAAACTAGAATCAAATCCTTTTTCCTTTTTCCCCCGGATTTGACACACTGAGATGGGATGTTCAAATTTCTAATAGCTGAAGTTTATTAACTTTCTGTAGCTTTCATTTGTCCCTTTCGCATTTGTTATCTTGCATAAGCCAGAACTGGCCTGTAAAAGCTACTTTTGAATGCTGAAATCTACATCTGTTCACCTAGCTTACACTAGATGGAGGCATTTTCATATGCAAATGTGCTCTAATATATGATTTATCCATGAATAATAGAGTCAAGGGTTTGAAGGTATTTATTTTTAATGGCATCTTTAGTTGTTGTCTGGTTCAAGTTGGCCTACCAGTGATTTCCCCAGATTTGTCAAGTATTTTTCCACCATGAAATGAATGCCCTTGCAATCACCCTTCCCTGAAATTTTAATGACTAGACTCTTAAAACTCAACAGTTTAAGCAAACGGTATATCATCTTCCATTTACTGTGTAGCTTAACTGCAGGCTTACGCTGTCTCAGTCAGCGGCCAACTTTATTGCCACCTTCAAAAGTTTATTGTAATGCTGTAAATTTTTACTTCTCAAGGTTAGCATGCTCATGAGTTGCTTCACAATGAGGATTTGGGAGAGAAAGAACTTCAGCGGGAACGGAGGAGAACCTAGGGATGCAGTTCAGTGGGCACCGATTTCGGAGAATGATAGCACGGCAGTTACACAACATCTATCCCGCTTCTCCCGGATAATTGTGGGGAGGACGTGGTGGCAACACTGCTGACGTTATAGCACACGCGGGACTAATCAGCACCCTCCCTTCTCCCCTTCCCTCTCACATTTGGAAGTGTTTTGTGGGCAACAGCAAAACGAACTTGTGTCTGTACGGCTAGGAGGGGAGACAGCCCAAGGGGCTAACTGGAGAGTTGTGTTCTGTGTGTCTAATGAAGTGAAAAAATGAGAATGCCTGAAGTTTGGTACAACGTCAATAGTAAAAACGTAGCCAAACAGCCATTAAAACTAAGTGAAAAGCCTTTCTAACACTGTGTTGAGGGGATCTGCTGTGAGAGCGTTGGAGAGGAAGGTGCTAAGTAGCGTGGTATTTTCTGCAGGGACCCCGGAGCGAAACACGGTTTGCAAAAGATGTCCAGATGGCTTCTTCTCGAACGAGACGTCCTCAAAAGCACCCTGTAGAAAACACACAAACTGCAGTGCGTCCGGCCTCCTCCTGACTCAGAAAGGAAATGCAACGCATGACAATGTATGTTCTGGAAACGGTGAACCGACTCACATATGTGGAATAGGTAATTATCAATCAAATAATTGTGCTACCTCTGGCCATATTCTTGGTCAAACTTGTATTTTCCCCCGTCTTGAATGTTAACCAGCCATTTTATTCTAAGACTGTGTATCACTGCTAAAGCCACACTCCAAGTCCTCCAAAAAGTCCTCGTTTTCTCAGAGGTCATGTTCCAAACCCTGACTTTCCTCCTTTCACACTTGGATCGAATCTCACTCCTGGAGAAAAGGGTGGCGTCGTGATTATGTCTGAGGCCACATTAGCAGAATCCAAGTTGCAGAACTTTTTGTTATGTATTTTTATCACTTTCAAGAACACCTGTCTTATTAACTCAAGTATAAATTGTGTCGAGAAGCACAGTAACATACATTGATGACAAATTTGAAATGTAAAACTGGCTTTTTACCTATGGTATGGCTGTGTCTGTTATACAGAAGTTCCAAGTTCCTCTTGCCTTAAGCACTTTATCCAGGAAGGGTCACTGGCTTAGAGCTCAAGTAACCCAAATGCACCCCATGTTGGCGAGGGCACCAATCAAATCGGTGTCCTCACCCTGTCACTCCCACCGCGACACTAATCCTACACCTTCTACCAAGGAATCATTACACCAAAGATCGTCTGTCTTTTAGCATTCAGCTAAACAACATGGTGAACCAGCCTGATTCTCCCTATGCATCTCTTTGTACTACACAGAAGTGAACACAGCATAGGAGTGTGATTTGGGAGATTTAAGTTTCCAGTCCAGTCCCAATATTTTTTCACTGTGTCACTGAAATCATAATAAGTTGCTGAGCCTTTCTTCCTTCTCATCTAAAAAATGGAGTAAGGGAAGGGGTAGTAGGAAGAATGACTTCTAACTTTAACACTCTCTTTAACACATGTAACATTTTGGTTTTGCCATCCACTGAGCACTTACTGTAGGCTTTACAAAAACACTGTTAAGGCTCCGCAAGTTTAATTGAGGGCGTGAATGGCAGAGCCAGGACTCAAACCCAGGCCTCATGAATCCAAAGACAAACTCTCACTCCTTGGGATATACTGGCCCTACCCAGACCCGCAGGCTGTCGCACCTCTTTTCTAAGTGACATGTTTCCTGTGTGTGACTATTTTCTCATTTAATGTATGTTCACACATTTATATCTATTGTCACTCCCAGAGGTAAACAGTGTGTTTGTGTATGTACCCAGAATAGTGAACCACAGTGCACGCTATTCCAGAGTACTGCCAAGCTCCTTTCAAAGCAACGCTTATACCTGTTTGGCCGCTGACCTTGAAGTATCCTGTGGGCACTAGGTACACCTTTAACAGAAAGTTAATATTTACATTAAATCATGGAATTTCTGCTGTAATCTATTTATAGCACTATTATGTTCTTGTGAAATATTTATTAAACTCTCTCCCCCAGAAGGCCCTAAAAGAACATAAGAACGGACAGAAGTCCAGTTGCATTGGCAATCTCCCACTACAACCAGTCAAAAGAAGGCTGGTTTTATTCACAGTTTTCATTTTAGCACATCTTATCTTGGAAAGCTCCATTGCGTTGGTCTTTAAATTTTGTGTTTTGGCCAGTAGACTTCCAAGAATCCAGTTGTTGAGCGAATCTTGGTTTTTCCCACCTCCTGTTAGATGTCACCCTGTGCGAGGAGGCGTTCTTCAGGTTTGCTGTTCCCACCAAGTTCACCCCTGACTGGCTCAGCGTCCTGGTGGACAGTTTGCCTGGCACCAAAGTAAACGCAGAGAGTGTAGAGAGGATAAAAAGACGACACAGCTCCCAAGAACAGACTTTCCAGCTGCTGAAGCTATGGAAGCATCAAAACAAAGAACAAGATATGGTCAAGAAGATCATCCAAGGTATGCTAACCTGAAATAGACAAGTTGATCAGAAATGAAAGACACCCTTCAATCATGGATTTAGTTGTGTGGACGATGTTTCCTGTTTGGAATTAGTGTTGTAATGAAAACGTTTTCCCGAAGTGATGGTGTGGACGCTGTTCTCAGAACCATCGTGCAGGGTTTTATTTTCACCTCCTCCACGTCCCCCCACCCAACTGTCTTTTCAGAGTGTACATAGAAGCCACAGCGCATTTCTAGAGCAGGGTGTAGACCTCAGGACATTTGACTCTAGATCCCTTAGCAGTTTTATTAGCATGCCCTCTGACCTTCCTAGAAGTTCTTGAACCACTTTGAACCTTACCTTGCATTTCCACCAAGAAGCTCTGTTGTATTTATTTGGTAATTCTCTCTGGAGAGCCTCCCAGTATCTCAGAGACATCCTCTCGTTCATCCTCACAAGGCAGCCTATTTCAAAATTACCATTTTAATAGCATATGTTGTAAGGATTAATGAGATAAGGCCTGCAAAATGTTTGAGCTTCTTAGAAAAAGGGGCCAGTTAAAATCAAGTACTCTCACGTTTCAGAGTTTTCTACAGAATCTCCTTTAGAAAGTGAGTGTGTGTGGTGTGTGTGTGTGTGGTGGTGGTGGTGGTGGTGATGAGAGAATGCAAAGGGAAAAGAAAATTACATACAGTGTGGACTGCAAGCTGTAGGTTACACAGCAGCGGAAAGAGTTCTGAATTCAATTAGCAATTGAATTCTGGGAGGACATGCCAGAAAAAAAATGAGGGAGGCTTTTTGTAATGCAGACAATGTCAACAAAAAAATTCACTCTCCTCTCTGCTGGAGTTAAATAAGTCCTCAAACTACCATAAAATCCTCAAACATCTGAAACTAGGGCAACAGATTTTGGGAGACTGAACATTTTTGGCAGCCGAAGGCATTCACTTGTACAAAGAGTAACTTTTCTCCTGTTTTTGGCAAGCCAAATGTATTCTTTGAAAGTGTAATTAGCCCTAAAGCAGAAAGAAAAGGAAGGAGAGAATCAGAGACTGTGAGAGTCGGAAGGGACCGAATCCCGATTTTACAAATGAGGGCATTTCAGCCCAGGAAGATGAACTGACTTGCCTTAGGGCTCGGACACTAAATGGCGTATGTCATTAATAGAAACATTAGTGACTCCCTCTTATGTTTATGGCCTAGCTCATTACAGAACTATTCTCTAGGCTGCATGTATCATCACGTCTCTGAGCCTCATACTATGGGGTTTTTACATTTTCTCTTCAGTGCTGGTAAATTCTCTTGTCCTCTTTATTAAAGACCATTTGAAGCAACTAGCTCTTTTAAAATAGCACGTACGTTAGATATTGACTAATGAAAGTTTATATTACAAAAATACCTACTAGAATACTTTCTGTTTATCTGAAATGTTACGGTTTTAATTTCTCAAACTTTTTTTTTTGAAAAACTGAGAATGATGTGCCTGGAATTTTCTACCAGAGATTCAAAATGAGGGTTTCTCACTGAGCTTTGTTGGTATACCTAGAATATACAGCATATTGTCTTACAATAACACAAAGGAATATTTACCTTAGTTCTCAGAAATATCTAGCATCACTTAAGCCTCCCTCCAAACAAATGAAGTCAAAGGTTATCCCTCCAGTTCTGACACGTGGAGAACCTTTGCCTCGGGTGCCTGTGGTGGCATTAGAAGAATGGACGTGACGTGGATTTCTCTCTGTGCTTTTGCTCCGTGCAGATATCGACCTCTGCGAAAGCAACGTGCGGAGGCACATGAGCCATGCAAACCTGACCTTCGAGCAGCTCCGCAGGTTGATGGAGAGCTTGCCAGGGAAGAAAGTCTCGACAGAAGACATTGAAAAAACAGCGAAGGCGTGCCAATCAAGTGAACAGATCCTGAAGCTGCTCAGCCTGTGGAGGATCAAGAACGGCGACCAGGACACTCTGAAGGGCCTGATACACGCACTAAAGCACCTGAAAACGTACCACTTTCCCAAAACGGTCACTCAGAGTCTGAAAAAGACCATCAGGTTCCTTCACGGCTTCACGATGTACAGATTGTATCAGAAGCTATTTTTAGAAATGATAGGGAACCAGGTCCAATCAGTGAAAATAAGCTGCTTATAACCAGAAATGGTCATCCGGCTGTTTCCTCACCGTGGCCCAGATCCGATGGATGCGTAAGCTGTTTCTCAGGCGCTCGAGGGGGTGCAGTGATTTCTTTCTCATCACCAAGGACTAGATTTGGCCCCAGGGCACACACACACACACACACACACACACACACACACACACAAACAACAGTGTGGAGAAAGAAACCCCAAATAGTTTATCCAGCTGACAGATCTGGTCCTATATCTACTGCCTCTATTTTCCCTTATCACTGCTTGCAGTAATTCAACTGGAAATAAGAAACTAGACTCCACTGTGCCTTACTAAATATGAGAATGTCTAACTTAAATAGCTTTGAGATTTCAGCTGTCCAGAGGCTTTTATTAGAAAGCCTTTTTCTTTCTGTAAAAGTACTAATATATCTGTAACACTATTACAGTATTTGCTATTTATATTCACTCAGATAGAAGGTTTGTACATATTATCATCTGAAAGGGAAACTGTGTAAGACTTAATTTTAGAAAGAAAAATTTATATATTCTGTTTGTTATTCACAAATGAGAGAGATAAAATATATTTTTTAATGGAAAGTTTGTAGCATTTCCTAATAGGTACTGCCATTCTTCCTATGTGGAGTGTATTTGTAATATAATTTAACCTGTATAAGCTATGATATCATTTTACGAAAAATGCATTATGTAGTCAATTGTTTAATGTTGGAAAGTTTGAAATATAAATTATCTGAATATTAGATGCGCTGAGAAATTGAATGTATCTTATTTAAAAGATTTTATGTTTTTACTATATAAACAACACCATTAAAGTTTTCAAATTATTTTTCATTGCTTTTCCTTTTGTTTTATTTGAATGGAATATTGGCAGGTCTGAGTTTTTATAATTTTCTCCTTTCTTATATCACCAGGACCATCTGAGAATTGTTAAAAATGCAGATTTCTGGGCCAATTTATTGACAAACTCTGGGGAAAAGGACAGAAACCTGCTTTTTTAACAAGCTACAAAGCACTTCTTGCCACATTAAAACTGGAGAACTTTTAGTTAGACTTAGCATACAGATGGTGCAAACCATTAATAACTGCTGACACTAACCTTGAGAGGCCAATTCTGTAAGTTATTTTGGTTGCAAGTTACAGAAACTGGCACTCCCTAGTTTAGGAAAAAAATTAATTAGAATGGTGGTGCGCTGGGTTGAATGGTGCCCCTTCCCCAAATCCGTTCACTTTATAATGCCCAGAACCAGTCAATGTCACCTTAATTAGAAGAAGGGTCTTTGTAGATGTAATTAAATTATGGCTTTTGAGATGATGAAATCATCCTGGATTTTAGGCGGGCCCTGCATCCGATGACAAGTGTCTTTGTAAAAGACAGGCGGAGGGGAGGAACTGAAGAGAAGACGATGCAAAGACAGAGGCAGAGATGGGAGTGATGCAGCCATAAGCCAGGGGAGCTAGGGGAGGCGAGGAAAAGCTTCTCCCCTGGGGCCTCTGTAGGGAGTGCAGTCTCGCTGACTTTGGACTTCTGGCCTCTGGAACTACGAGAGAATGAACTGCAGTTGTTTGAAGCCACCGAGATTATGGTAATTCACTGCAACAGTCACTGGAAAGTAATATAGGTTGTATCCCAGGCTCACAAAGAGCACCCTGGCACCATTGTGGGCAGAATTCCAACAGCTTCCTAATCCTCCATTTCTGTATCTTTCAGTTCAAAATTTCAAATTCCCAGGAGAGAAATTCTGGTCCTACATTGGCACAAAGACCTGGCCAGTGAGGGCCTGTCTTCATCAGCTACAACACCCAGGAAGGGGATATTGGGAACGGGACACACTGGATCCCATCCTTTTCTGTCTACATTCTTCCTTTCTCTCACTCTACCGTGACTTAGAATTTAACATCGGCGCAGATTAACCCCACCTTGGGAAATCAGATCAGACATGGCAGATCCCGGTGAATATTACACCAACTCATACGTCCGAGGAAAGGAAAACCAGAGGGGAAGTCAAGGGGCTCCAGCCTGGAGAACCGGAGTCCCAAGGCTGTGACACTGGCAGTGGGAAAAACCAGCGCTGTAGCCAAAAGTGGGTGCCTAGGAGTTAACTGATGGTCTGAATTTTCCCTTCGGAAGCTCCAGTTTCTCTGCCAGAATTTCTGCAAACGGGTATTGAAGTGGCCCGCCCACTTCCGTTCAGCTTAAGAAAAGTTTGCAAGTTAATGATTTCAAGTCCAAGTCATTCCAACAATCATTTGCTTGGTTTTCCTGGCTGCGCCTTTGGGTCAGGTCTACCTCAAGCTTGCCTCCAAGGGAGAGAGAATGCATAAGTTCATGCCCGTTTCTCTTTCTTGAAACTTGTACTTTTGAAATAATTTTAAATGCATGGAATCATTGAAAAGATAGTATAGAGTACCTGCACTGAACTATTTTGTAAAATAGGCTTCAATCATTTTGTCCGATGTTTCTCACGAATAGACTGATATTACGTGGAAGAATGTCACATAGATGATGGGCCTTCTCACATCACAGTGGGGCAAATGGTAGGAGAATGGCTAATTACTGTTGATATTAACTGATGGCTGAGTTAATTTTTATATAAGATGTGAGATATATATTGAAGGTTTTTTTTTTACATACAGTCATCCAGTCATTTCCATATGATTTGTTGGAAAGACTAAGTTTTCTCCATTTAATGGTCTTCAAATCTTTGTCAAAAATCAGTTGATTATATGTGTATGGGTATATTTCAGGGTTCTTTTCTGTACCATTTTTTATATATTTATCCTTTTACCTATTCCACATTGTCTTAACTACTGTCATTTGATAGTAAATCTTAAAATTATTTCTGATGATTACACTGTCACGTGGGAGTATGTGTGTGTTTCCTTGTTTTTCTGTATAATTCCTAACTTTTGCCTAAAAGTCAAATATATTGTGTAGGCCAGTGGAAACTAAGGCACATAGTTTTTATACCTGGATATGGACATGCCTTTCCTTCTGCTAGAAGTGTAATGGAAGACTTTGCACTAATTCAGTTAGTAAGTGGACTAGTTTTTATTGTTGTTTTGCTTTTGCTGTGGTTATACTCGGAGCATCGCAGGTTTGAAATTTCTGTAGTGTGTTTGTTGGATGGTGGATGTGTATTAGATCAACGCCTATTTGACTCTGAGTTTTAGGTCTTCCCCCTTGAACTATACCTCAAAGAGGTCCTCTTTGCACACTCTTGGATTCCACCCATTCTTCGTCCAACAGTATTTCACTGTTACTTGTCATTCAAAGCTTCTAAGTTTCATGGTGGAGGAAGGGAGATGCAGTCTCTGTCCTGATTAAGTCCCTTAAGTGTGCCTGTGTCCCCCAGGTACGTAGCCTTCTCAGTTCTCAGGCCCCTTCCAGCCTGCAGTTGTGAGTTCAGCACTTAATCCCACCCCTTGTCACAAGAATGGACTTTGTCCTGTTCTGTTTCCCCAGCTGCGATGAGTGTTTGCCATTACCTTAAAGCCAGCACTTTCACACCCCCGCCCTCAGGTCAATGCCTTTGTTCTTCTGGGTGAGATGTCCAGCCCTCACTTCGGGGCTGCTGCCCCTCCTTCCAATCTCTTATGGTTCTTCCTAATCTACTCAGTGAGTGTTCAGTGGGGTTCAGGGAGAAGGACCCTGCAAAGGTGTTAGGAGGTCATCAGAACGACTCCACCCTCAAGCTGGACCCAGGTGATCAGAGACTCCAAACCCCCTCCCCTGTCCTCGGAACATGTGTTCTTCACACCCTTCCCACAGTGGCAGCCATTCTGAGGGTGACTCCGTGAGAGATTAAGGTGTTGTTGAGACCATGTGGGCTGGATACGTGACTGAATTCCATAAAGGCCTCATAAACTTTTAGATTCTGGAGGGCAGATGCAGAGACTGACTTGTCTTGTGGTCGCTCAAAATAAGCCTCATAGTAATTTCCCTTGCGCATTGAACTGCCACTTGTCAATTTGGGGTGGTCTGCCTCTTTCTTTGGTCTCTCCCTCCTTGCCTTCTGTTGGCAGGGGTGCATTTTGGGATTTCACCTGGGAAGCTCCCAAGGTTTCAAACCAACCAAAATGGTGCAGACTCTCCCAATTTCTGCAGCACCCAGGAGTTTCACACTGTTCCACCAGCCCACGGACCGCCTTTGTCAATTCGTCAGCTCTCCTAGCTGGACTCCTTTTTGTGTGTGTTACTTTTTCCTTTTTGTTTAAAAAAATATTATAAAATTTATGCCATAGTAAAAAATTCAGACAGTAGAAGAAGGTGTACATAAAAAAGTCATTTCCTCACTCCACAGTCTCAGTGCCAGGAGTTCAGGTATCATTCTAGAAGTGTGCTGTCTCTATATAAGCCATAAATATTTTTCATTTTAAAAACACATCCATAGTTCATGGGTATCTTTCCACATCACCACATTCAGACCTGCTTCATTCTTTTCGGACTGAATAACTGATTTAACCAACTGCCTATATATGGACATTTTGACTGATCTCAGTATTTTATACACAGCATCTTTACATTCTGGCACACTGAATGGGAGTGGGTGAATACTAGGAAACATTTCTCCTAAAAGTTTACAACTTTCATTGACTAGAATAGATTCTAATGATTGGGATAGACTTCCAAAAGCAGTATGGCGAGGCTGGCAGGTGGACCCAAGAGCTGAGGTCTCATTGCTACTAAAAGAACAAGGTCATTGCTATGGCAGTTCTGAAACAGTCACACACCAGTGCTCGCTCAGGTGAGTAACTACACATCACAGCAAAGAGCAGAAGAGTAGCTTACATGGGAAAAGGCCCATGTCACTTCCTGTTGAGGAAACAATTCAAGTAGCAGCAAATAGCAAAATGAAAAGAAATAAATGTTTCAGAACAAACTGTTATATTCATTTGGTGTCAGTAAAATGGTCCAAAACAAACCAGAAGACCATGGCAAGTCATAGCTGTGTAAATGATGAAATCGGATATTTACTGTTTAAATTCAATAGCTGAAAGAATTCCTTTGTAGAGAAGATGAAAAAGAAGTTTACATGGGTTACTTCCAGACTACATTTTTCTTTGGAAAAATACGACCTGTGAGTTAGAGTCTGGGTATTATGGCTACGTCTTTCTTCACGTCGGCATTGTGATGATTAACTAAGGCTCTCACACTCTGGGCACCCTCTTCTCCACGTAACGGGAAAAGCAGTGAACCTTAGCTGAGAGCAGGCTGAACAGCTAAAGGACCTTCCTTTTTGAGGCAGTGATTTGTATTCTGAATTAAAGAAAGAACTTGAAGAAGAATCTCCTTTGCCACGTAGCCAACGTAGAGGAATGGTGAACCCACTGGGACACCAAGCCGTCCTTCTGTCGTGGCTGGCTTTTCAGACAAATTCAGCAACACTTTCACAACTTGAACCTTGGTGCTTGCATTTCATGGAAGCGGCACTTGGAACAGATTTCTCATACACCCCCTGCTGCCACACATAAATAACCTCCCTCATCATCAAACATCCCGCAGCAGAGTGGTACATTTGTTACACTTAAAAACCCACATCAACCCATCGTTATCACCTGAAGTCCACAGTTTACATCAGTGTTCACTCTTGGTGTTATTCATCCATGGGTTTTTTAAAAATTCATGAATATGAATTGAGTTATTTTGTTTGCTTTTTGTTATAATTATGAGAACATCACTCATTCCAGCTCTGTACATCCTCCAGCGCTCTGCATTCATCCCAGGAAGAAGCCAGAACCCAGTCAATTATGTTCTTTAAACACCTGCTGCTAAAAATTCAAGGTGAGTTAATGATTCTCA